CCACATGGCTTGAGAAGAAGGACTGCATGTCCTTGATGCGGCCCTCGTCAATGACCCTGTCGTTCTTGCACGCGTCCAGACACCACAACAGTTTGTGGCAACGGTCTTCATCGCAAATCTGTGCATTGCTCACCGGAGATGAGATAGGCAGAGATGGGATAGCAACATCAGTACACGCGAGAGGGAACGAGGGTTGAAGGCTACGAAATATGCACGATTGGAAATGCGGGCGATATGGACGTGTGTACAAATATAACGCCCACATTTGCGGATGAATGGTTTGTGTGACGTAAGTGTTGAACGGGTAATTAAGCAGGAAATACATCTAAACAGCACTTCACAAGGCCCACTTTCCAGTACACATACACATGCGCACCAGATATATGAATCACTCAGATTGTCTGGACGTCCCAGAGCACTGCATCACCGGACAGCACCCTACTACGCACGAACGAACGCCACAAACAACCAATCCAATCGAACACAACTGCCAGACCCACCTCAGCCACATCAGCCGCTGAGTGGGGTCGGTGCAGTTCTGAGCTGCACGCGCACCACAATGAACACCTGTGGTCACAAAAAAGCTTTTATATAGCGGGATACGATGTACGGTTAAGTACTTGAACCCAAGCGCCTCAAACGTGAAGCACCCATCACCAGCCAATGGTACCACCTCAATGGCAACGCCCTGGGGGACTGGACTGAACTTACCTCCGCCACATCGGCATCGTGAAAGGCCATGAGCAGTTCCGAGCGAAGAGTACAGTACAGTCGGTTCTGGGTGTTCTTGAAGAGCGTTTCAAACAGCTTCAGCACCATGTGGTAGACCTCGGATGACTTGCCAATGATGTCGACCAGATTCTTGACGGCGGCGTGTTGCCTGCAGACGAAGGATCAGAGTATAAGGGTACACTAGGGTGCTCTCGCTTTGCCTAAGCATCCAGCTGACACCACTACATAATAAATGGGCCTTATAAGACATGTGCGTTGAGTGGACGCAGCACTAGTGAAGGATGCCGGGCTCAAGGAGCCACTCGCCAGCAATTGAACTGTTAACTGAGCAACACACCTCCGTCGTTTGGGTGGGATGGGGTTGAGGTCCGTGAAATCATTCTGTGCGCGCAGAATCGTCTCGTCGTCCATGAAGTTGGTGATTGTGGCATACACGATCTTACGGAATCTCTGAACGGGGCAAGAATAGACATAGAATGAAATTCAAGATAGGCTTAGACTTGTGCTACTGATGCTAGGTAAAGCAATAGACAACAACACACCGCAAACCAGCTTCCAATCAGAACAGTTACATAGCAGCGCATGCACCATAGAACAACATACATGCGTACCACACCCCCAAGAAAGTAATACCAATCCCACATAGACCATCACAGAGCAGCGCCAACGCACTACTAACAGCAGCTGATAGATCAGATGCATCTCACAAGGTCACTCGCATATCCCATACACCCGAAGGCTGAGGCGGACGAGTGTCCGGAAGCGGCTGCATCTGTATTATATCAGATGCTCTCACTATCAGGTACATCACTGAATACCCCGCGGAAGGTCTTTACCTTGTTGTTCGTTGCTCTGGCCGTTCACACAACACTCTACGACCAAAATTCGCTTAAAGCAGCGCTCGCTAGTAACACACGCAAGTCATCAAGTGCTAACGCTACAGTATTTATCATGCCAAGGCATAACGTACGGTGGTCAGCATTTCACATTGTAATCAGTTTCAGTACCAATTCAGCACTTCCACAATAGTGGAAGCAGATATGCACGCGAGGTTGCTGCAAACTAGCGAACATGACAATTATACAAACAAGCACATATAGTTCAATTATAATATATATATATGTATATATATATATCCATCTATCCCTCTATCCACATGTTCTCACAAACGTGATACGGCATACACTTGTGAGTGTGCAACATCGATGGCAGACAATAGCAGCACATGGTCCCGATATCCCGAATATATGTATAGTAAATGTTATTCCCTCTTACCGCTTGCCCTTCAGCGTTGTTGGCGTGGAGCCAGACTTTCCTCTTGACATCCATTGGACACGCCTGTACAGAGCGGAGCGGAGCGAGCGAGGATATACATTTTAGGAACACTGACAATATATAAAGCGAGTGAGGATATGAGTGAGGATATACATTTTAGGAACACTGACAATATATAAAGCGAGTGAGGATATGAGTGAGGATATACATTTTAGTAACACTGACAATATATAAAGCGAGTGAGGATATAAGTAAGGATATACACTTCAGGAATACTGACAATCGACACATAGTGGCTATAAAGTGACATGAGAATACATCCATTGTAAGGAGAGGCCTACGAAAGCGATGCGGTGAATTGAGGTGCATCTCTGATTAGGCATACGTGAAGCATGCGAATGTCGCTGTGATGAATTCTGTTGACCACGTTTGAAGAATTTGTTCTGAACCCGATCGGAATGTGGTAAGTACGCAACCGATGCAGATGGGCGGGACATATGTAACGGGCCAATGCAACTTGTGTCTCGCCAAGTGAACTAGAGACACGATACATGTGCATAATGATGGATCCTGTAAGGCACAGGCGGGTACATCTGTGACAAAGAAAATCTGAAATGATATAAGAAACTGGTACGCGCCCAGATAGGTCGCATACTGAACTACATACACCTCACACAGACAAGCACCTAGATGCATGCACACACACACAATCGCCACACGCACACCTCGTATATCTCGTCACTGATACTTATGTGGTGCAGAATGGACTCGGGGATGACCGGCAGTCGCTTCATGATATTGATGGGGATGTCTTGCAGCTCGGGATGCGTGAAGTAGATGAAGCTCTTCTCCAACAGAGTGTTCAGGCTGAACAATCCATCGCGCAGCCAACACGAATGCGCGAGAGATGAAAAAAATAGGGGCTTAGCGCATGAGCAACCCTTATTAAGCAACACGCATCGGATGAATGTACGTTTGTTAGGGTATTTGGGCGCTGCAGTAAACATGCGGCGGATTTCTTCTCGTATTCGTACGCTGATGTGCTTTGAATTGTTAACAACTTGATGAATGCACACAAAAGCAAGGCATCACTAACACGTGCGTGTACTGCATTCAAACGAATCGCCAACACGTGCGTGTACTGCATTCAAACGCATCGCCAACACGTACGTGTACTGCATTCAAACGCATCGCTAACACGTGCGTGTGCTGCATTCAAACGCATCGCTAACACGTGCGTGTACTGCATTCAAACGCATCGCTAACACGTGCGTGTACTGCATTCAAACGCATCGCGAACACGTGCGTGTACTGCATTTAAACGCATCGCTAACACGTGCGTGTACTCCATTCAAACCTGCGGAGTGAGTTGCATGCAGACATGCCACCGGTGAAAAATTGATTGGTAATGCACATATGAGTGTAGTGGGATAGTGTTATTGGGTGGGCGTTGTATATCGCACCGCCTGCAGGACGTGTGCCAAATACATACGTGTCTATATCGGAGGATGCCAGTTTCTTGATTCTCTCACTCAGCTTTTCTCGCATCGATTCTAAGAAGCTCTTGTGAAGACTCGATCGGGGCACACCGAATACGTCTAAGAAGGGAAGCGCCGCCTGTGATTGGATACGGACGCAGTCATGACGTGCGCATAGAGATGAGCAAACGGATATAAATAAACGGATTGAGGGTGCAGACGAAAGAACAGAAGCCTGTACACGTTTTATGAGAGCGTTTAATCTGCAAACAGTAAATGTAGTACAGCTAGCCATTCGCATGCGTGCGCTGCAGGATAGTATGAGGTGTATCTGGTATGAAGGATTCTACTACTTGTTGCATAGGCAGTAGGCCCTACGTGGGCAGGCGAGATGGCAACGGACTAGGCCACAAGTGTGACTTGTAGTTCGCTGTATGAACCTTTCTCCTGCAAGAGTGAGCACTGTGGTGGTGGCTTGCTGAGGCTCTGCGAGGTGTGCAACAACGTTCACTGCAGTGTAACATATATCTTCAAAGGAACGGGCGCCAGGGTTTGGTTTGATATCGATATAACGTCATCATTTTCTTTTCGCAATCAAGCACGGGCGTCGTGAATGGTTGCACATGGAGTGCAATAGTGAGACAGGACTTTATAACGGGAGTTAACGCGTGGCGGTTGTTGTTATGTTGTTAACTGTAGAGGTCTGCCAGTGCAGACTGCTCGTGGGCAATAGATTCCGAGCTTGAACACAGATGTCTGTGACAGTCATCACAGTGGCCATGGTACGAAGACATGAACGTAACGCAGGTTCGGCTGCACCTGCATTTGTACCGACATGCACGCTAATCACTGGCTACCGAAGTAAATCTTACAAAACTAGGCAAACCAGCCGATCTAAAGTACACGATACAGATACAATACAGAGAAAGCAAGGATAGCGCGCAACAGCAACATATATACATGTGTTGACCGTAACTCACCAGAGATCGGTGGTCAATTTTTAACCCGCTGTCGGCTTGGAACTGGCCGATAAAGTCAATGGGATCTCCGGCAGCAAGGTTGTGTTCAATGTAATTCGTACACGCACTGCCCAGAAGCACAAACCCCTGTTATAGCACAGCAAGAGAGGGGGAACCCACAACGGTTTGAAAAGATAGAATACACCATGTGCGGATTGACACGGGAAGATGTGACCCACGTTCGTGACAGAATAGAAGGGGCGAGCAAACGCCATGCGACCGTCAGTTGATCCAAGCGACATAATCCAAAGAAGAATCGCAGAGATAGCATCTCATGCATCGAATTTTTAGTAGAGCAGTGCCAGTGCTGCATGTGGGATCGCATGAGGAAATGTAGCTTTTAAATGGTTCGGCAGAACCAACATACTAATCTTTACCGTGCCACTACATTATGTATCACGAATAGCAATTAACAATTAACAATATATCTACGTACATACATACAAACATACATACATACATACATACATATACACACACATACATATAGATATTTATATATATATACACATAGATAATTATATATACATACACACATATATATATATGTATATATATATACATATATATATGCACATACATATATATATATACATATGAATATACATATACATATACATATATATATATATATATATATATATATATATGTATGTATAGAATAACATAAATACATCAATAAATTTATATAGATTTAGGTATATGTATAGTCATATGCTCACATACACATACTCACACACATATATATATATATATATATAAATATATATATATACTATATATATGTATACTATATATATGTATTCGAATATTTACATACATGCATATATACACACGTATATATTTATATATACATACACACATACATACTTACATACACACACACATATATCTATAAATAATATATACAGTACGTGCGCGCGCGTGTGTGAGTCAAAGTGTGTATATATATGTGTGTGCATGTACGTATATGTTTACGACGTACATTTACAATACGTATAAGTATACATGTAGTTTCAACATGATTGCAGATCAATACTTTCATGTTCAGGTATAAAATCAGTAAGAGATCTACAGGTAGAGCATTCACTCAAACAAATTTACCAATTTACTTAGAATGGTGAAACGCATCCAAATCCAAGTGCCTGCATAAAACAATCTTCTAACAAACCACTAGGAGGGACAATACATGTAAAAGAGAACACCGGCACAACTCTGTGATCAAGCGCAACACACATAAACCTACATCATCGTGCGCTTCCTCCGTTTCTGCAAACTCCTCTGGTGCCTCTTGTTCTTCCATCTCCATCAGATCTAGCTCAGCCCCCTCCCCTTCACCTTCTTCCAAATACACTTCTTCCGGTTCGTTGTACTCTGTGGCCTCCATCTCGTCGCCCTGGTTGACTGCATCGGCAGTTGGCCTGTCACGTGCGCCGTCTGGCCCCTCCCCTTTATCTGTGTCGTTTAGTATCATTTCACTGCCACCTTCATCCTTATCAGGTTGCACCGTGTCGGTCTCGGCTACTATCTCTCTAGTGTGATCGTCGGTGTGATCTTTCTCCGCAGGCTGGTCTCCCGTTGTTTCATCACTGACACCTACATCTGCGTTCCCATTCTCGGCTACGCTTGACATACCTATACTATCATCAACGCCTTTTTTATCCGTTTCATCGTGCTGAGCCCTTTCTGGCTCATCCGAGGAGTTCTTATCCGTCTTCGAGTCCGCTTGACTACTTTCGTCAGTTTTCTTCGCTACCACACTACCCACATCGGTACTGTCCTTATTCAACTCACTTTCACTTTTAGTATCATTAGCAGTACCATCTTCATTCGTACTTTTGGGCTTTCCTGCCTCATTTTCTACCTCATCCGTTCCTTCGGCTATCTTCTCCGTGGTAGCATCAACCGAATCATCGGCTTTTCCTTCTAAGACTTCCTCAGCAGACACCACGCTATTCGTTGTTGCCTTCACATCACGAGTGCTCTCCCCGTACTCTTGGTTGCTTGACATCTCACTACTCTCCGCCTTGTCTTTATTGCTCAATACATCCGAGTTATTCTTCACACTTTCTTCAGTATCGGTCACCTCCGCATTACTTTCTGTTTGCTCGGATTGCGACACCTCACTAGCATCGCCTTTGTTCGTGTCCTTACTGGTACTTTCCACAGCCTCTTCGGCATCCGTCATCTCTGTATCCTTATTGCTATCTGAAATTCTGTCAACAACTTTCTGCTCCGAATCTAAGTTACTTCCCGACATTCTCCATCACTTTAACGCAGTGAATCCCCGGCCGTTATCTATAGAATACGGATAAGTGTATTAGGTATCTTCTCGCCTTGTCCGGATTAAAATGGTTTCATATGCCGGGGGGAATAAGTTCACAATACTTCAAATACTTCACAACTCGAAAAATAAATTTATACTTCTGCTGCTCATAGCCTTCTGAGCAGTAAACAAGCTGCTATTTCATTTTCTTCCCCTCACTTGCCCTTTGGCGGTTTAGAGAAGGGAAAGTACCGAACGTTCTTGCTGGTCATATCAGAAGTCATTGGTGAGGGATGTATTTCATTGGTGTGCACGGTGGGCGGTTTTTTCGGCATTTGTTACTACACAACTCTCATCCAGTCCCCCGTCTCCAACCGATTATTGTGAGCAGATAAAGCATTCATTTGCTTTTATTCCATTAGTGTGCGTCGCTAGACAATATACAGAATAAGCACACACCTCAGGCTTAGAACTCTCAATGAGGACCTCATCGTCAATACCATAACATCTGTGTTGTGGTAATATTTATATACAGATATATATATACACTTCAAATGAGTTTGTACCACTAATATCGATGTACATTTTAGTTTTTAATGCTATATATAATTAGTAAATTATTTAGTAACTTAGTTTAAAATGGGGTTATCGCCGGTGAAAGCACGCGATGCGGTCCTGTATCTGAAACCCGTAGATTGGATGTGCCTCACCTATCTGTTGGTCACGTTTCCTCTCCAATTTATTGCAACGAGGTAAGCATGGCCAGTATCATTTCCGACGCAGAAGTGAAGGTATTTCTACAAGAATAGGAATTTTGTTCGGGGTTTCATGTTTTTGTTTTTTTTTGGAGGACAGCACAAGCTACAAACACGCTTGATGGAAATTTGAATATGGCCATAGGGTGCCATTCATTGCTGATTTCGATCCCATACTGGTCAATTAATCTGTCGTTGCCGTGAGAATAAAGTTTGGTCTTGAATATATGTGAGAGGTGCTTCATGAAAAATACTTTGGGAGTGATAATATACACGGTTCTTGAGAATTCGATTTCTGAAGTTTCTGTTCCGCACACTATACCTATTTTCTGACACTGACATATGTGTCTTAACATCACATACATTGAAGATACTTCTATCTATATTCACATTAATATTCATGCACCTCAAAATCTACAAGATCTTTATTTACCATTGAATACGTAAAGTATCTATGATTGCGACTGGACGATTATGTGTTAAGCCGTGCGATGATATATTTGACAACATACCGTATCACAGTTGTACAAAAGAATATTTTATCGTATATTAAGTTGGTGGTAGACATGTTTGTAGTCCTTTTATTTCTACAATTACATTTTTATAAGCACAAATGCATATAATCTATAAAGAAGTATTTTGAACACACAAAGGCATATATATTTCGCGTCTTCTCATGATGAAATTGATATCAAGTCAACCTCACATAGATACACACAAAAACGCTCACATACACACACAGAGAGTCGCGATATATATATATACATATATATATATATGAATATATATATAGTAAATATCTATATATACTATA